CTGCCGTCAGTCAAACTGTTGGGCGGAGAGGATGGACGTGACCTGCCGCAGGGCTGTGTGTGTCTATGGACGCACACAGCTTCTGCGGGCACGGCTTGGAACGCACAAGCACGGACGCCTTCACAGCACCTGTGCAGGGGCGCGAGGGGAGAGGATGCGGGGAGCCACTAGACAACAAGAAATTGAGAATTTTGTTTTTAAAAAAGATCTGCAATAAAGACGGCCTCCCACGGAAAAAATAAAAAAAAACCCTAAAGTTTTAATATCACTTTAAATCTTAAATATACATTCACGTACCTGAACTATTAACAACAATGTATCTTATTTGTGTGTCACTCGGCTGTAGACCCTCAAATCATCTCTGAATTGGTGCGGACACTGTCCTTCCTTCTGGAGGGGGGCTACTTTTGTTCCCCATGGTCCCTGTGTGTGTTGTAAAGTAGTCACCGCTCCAAGCTCGCTCCTGTGATGGACTACAATCCCAATACAAATTAGTAAACCAAACGTGAGATCAGGACTCATCAGTTCTGATCTCACAACTCAACCCTCATCAGAATGAATGAAGTGGCTTGGGGAAGATACAAAGCGACTTCAACATTACAGAACAAGTCCAGTTGAATGTAACTAACTGCTACTTGCTACATCATGACCTGGATCAATGAGAACCTTCACAGACACAGGTGTGAACAAAGCCGTACACATCCCAAATTTGTATTTACTTTTGAAGCTACCTCTAGGCTTTGAGCACTGATGATAATTTGATGGTTAATGTTAAAAATGAACAATAGGCTTCGCCTGTGTTTAGGTGAGATCTAGCTCCCCTGGCCAACTCTAGGAGAGACAGCCAGCAGAGAGAGCGAGGGGAGACAGCCAGGAGGGAGAGTGTGACAGCCAGGAGGGAGAGCGTGTAGAGACAGTCAGGAGGGAGAGCGATGAGTGACAGCCAGGAGGGAGAGCGAGGAGAGACAGCCAAAGGGGAGCGCTGGAGAGACAGCTAGGAGAGAGAGCGAGGAGACACAGCCAACAGAGAGAGCGAGGAGAGACAACCAGGGGGGAGAGCGAGGAGAGACAGCCAAAGGGGAGCGCTGGAGAGACAGCTAGGAGAGACAGCCAGCAGAGAGAGCGAGGAGAGACAGCCAGGAGGGAGAGTGTGACAGCCAGGAGGGAGAGTGTGACAGCCAGGAGGGAGAGCGGGGAGAGACAGCCAGGAGAGGGAGCAAGAAGAGACAGTCAGGAGGGAGAGCGATGAGTGACAGCCAGGAGGGAGTGCGAGGAGAGACAGCCAGGAGAGAGAGCTAGAAGAGACAGCCAGGAGGAAGAGCGAGAAGCAACAGCCAGGAGAGAGAGCGAGGAGAGACAGCCAGGAGGGAGAGTGATGAGACAGCCAGGAGAGACAGCCAGGAGGGAGAGTGATGAGACAGCAAGGAGATACAGCGAGGAGAGAGAGTGAGGCGAGACAGCCAGGAGAGAGAGCGAGGAGAGACAGCCAGGAGAGAGAGCGAGGAGAGATAGTAAGCAACACATCTGCCTGAAGCAGAACCCCTGTGCCCTCCAAGACTTATCTGCACCCTGTATTTCAGACAACTCCTTGGTCCCTGAGTTTCATCGTCCCTCCATGTCCTGTGCCTCCTCCATGCACTCAGGTTGGAACACCAGGACCCGTGATTGTCCATCTGGCATTGTAACATTTCGTGTCCGGGTTTCAGGCCAGCTGAAACCCAGACACAAAATGTTACAGGACTCAAAGCCCGGACTGTCCAGGGCAACCCTAGTTGCAAATTCCATGTTGGTCTTAGGTGGAGATTGGCCTTTAGTGTCTAGAATGGTGTCATGGGGGGCATTAGACTGCAATACTTCCCCCAAAATGAATCATGTGCCCTCTATAGATTATACATATAGGATGTCCTGTTATTTATTGCATGGAAGGGACACTGTCCATGTAGCGATCCAGCAACTCACCAGGAACATGTTCATTAGAAGAGAATACTTATCTGCTCCACTGGGAATGCTCCCTGACTGGCTGATGTCCTGCAGAATCTCGCTCACCATTGAGAGCAGGAACAGAAAGACAACTCACTGGTGTGGGAGACGGCGACGCAGCCCTGTAGTTGCATGTGAGTCTCTCTTAGCACTCCTGTGGCTGGCGAGTTGGAAGTGGGAGCCAATAGCAGGATTGATAGTGTGATATGGGCCTTAAAGGAGAACTATGACATGAGTGATTTCCACTCACCTCATAGTTCTAGCCGACCTGTGACAATGAGACTGTCACAGGTCGGCTCAGTAGATCGGGAGGTGAGGGAAAACATACCGGGCTCCCTCACCTCTCGATCCTGTCACGGCTCTCTGCCGTGACAGGGGGAGGGGCTGGATTCCCCTCTCCCCGCTCCGATCTGCCAGGGCTGACTGGCGGAACGGACAGGGGAGGGGGGCGGGTACAGCTGGCTCTGCCTCTAGATAGGCAGAGCCAGCTGTCACTCACGCAGCTGGGCGGATCCCGTCATCTAAGTCGGGATCCGCTCCAGGTGCGGCGTCTCAGTATACCACGAGCTGTAGCTCGCGGTATACTGAGCTTAGGGTGACCCCATAAAGGAGAACTATGGGGTTAAGGCTTTTTCCCATAGTTCTCCTTAGGGTAACGGGAGGACACAAACTAGCGTCCTCCCGTTACCCTAAGCTCAGTATACCGCGAGCTGTAGCAGTCTCATTGTCACAGGTCGGCTAGAACTATGAGGTGAGTGAAAAGCACTCACCTCATACCGTAGTTCTCCTTTAAGGTTACAATGTCCCCCCGCCCCTTTGGTCAGCCTCTGAGGCTCTAGGACTCTTCATGCTTCAGTTTCTCCTTTTATAATTAAAAACACTCCAAAGCCTATAAAAATATGCATAAACACACATTATGTAAGGTTTTCACTCTCGTTTGCACAGAGGAGCTATAAAACAATTTTCTGGTTGTGAACGTTTGACCGGAGGTATCCTTGGAAACAGCAAATATGCAATGCAGCGCATTTAAACCTATTATGATGATGAAACACAGACAACTATGTGCAGTTTAATCATTGAAACCTTCCATGCTTGTCCCATGAGGCAGAACCCAGGGCATGCCTGATGTTTAAAGTGCAGTAACCCACGACAAGCGATCAGTTTACAGAAGTGAGATCAGTTAGGATCTGGGTTACAGAATGCCCCATTGTCTCACTTCAATAAGCTTTGCTGTCTATAACTGAATCATAAACATTACACTGTCCAGTGACATTGATCCCTAAAGGTGCCCATACACCTTACAACCATCGCAAGACTTTAGTCTTGCGATGATTGTAAGGTAATTAAAAAAACGTACGATCTGCCCATCTTGGACAGGCAGTCCGTACAAGCGATCATCGCAAGCCCGCCACGCTGAGGGGCGGGCTTCCGATGACTGCAATGCTGAACGGGCAGTGTGCGCTGTGTCTTACGAGCAGGCCACAACCCCGCCGACAATCGTACGCTGGCCTTCCATACACCTGCCGATTATCGTACGATAATCGGCAGGTGTATGGGCACCTTTATGCATAGTCCATGCATGCAGCTCCCAGCATTTTACTGTGTTCTTGGTCAGCATAGGCCAACCAGAGTAGTCACAGAGCTGACCCAAACCCCCTTTAGGCATTAAGGCTGAACTCTAGACATACAATAATAAAAACACATCAATGCAGCTCTGTATTAATTAATAAATCATTATATGTATCTTTTAAAATGCAAGTATTGTAAGTATCTGAATTTGGCTTGGTATCAGTTTCTTGCGGTCCCTGTACAGCTGAGCTCAGGGACCCCAGCTGACAAGGAACATGCTTATATGAGGAGGGATCACAGTGACAGAGAGATAAGCTCATCACAGTGCTGCTTCTCAATCATGGTCCAGTTATAGGCTGGGGGCTGGTCCAAGACATCCTCAGCACAGAGGAAGGGGGTTGAACCATCTTTCAACATGGATCACCGAGGACATCTTGTGGCAGAAAAGAAGTAGTGCAGTGGGCAGCTCCACAATAAAGTTACGCATTGCAGCAAAAACTGCACTTTTTTACTTTATCTTTTAATTATTTTTTTGTTTTGTTTACTGGAAATCACTTTTAAGCATCAGTTTCGTCCAAAATTGGAGAGTTAGCCCACTTGCCAATTTCTTCTGCCTCTCAGGGAGTCATGGCAAGATGACTATGCTGCGTTTTCGGGTCTGCACACTTGCTTTGCCCATTATGAGGGGCTCTCACCATCCCTGCTGGGTTTTACTTCTTTCATATTATGCAAAATGTAACAGGTTGAGTCAGTAAACACAGAGATGGGTGGGAATAGGTGGACAGGTACCCAGGGATTATGGTAGGGAGCTCTTACTATTAGCATATCGAAGACATAAGAAGCCAGGGGCTGACTCAAATGACCAGGTTGAACCTATAATTAAAGTGTTTCTCCCAACAAAAATAAACATCTGTGTGTGCATAGTATCCTACCAGAAATAGGTGCAGATATCATGACCTTGGTGAATTCTTTTCATATCATTTCACAAATACATATTGATCCGGCAAGTTTCCTGGTGTGTGTTATATTACCAGTGTCGACAGCTGACGACACTTTCTAGCTGCTATTGAGATTGTGCTAAAAGCTGCTATTGGCCCTGCGTTATGCCAGGGGAAGACAAGCCCCAACAGCTCCTCCTTTCTGACTTGCGTTGCTGGCCCTGTGTTGTGACAAGAGACTAGACCCTACAGCCCCTTCCCTCCGGCTTGTGTTGTTGGTCCTGCACTGTGCCAAGCCAAGACAAGCCCTTACAGCCCCTACCCTCCCGCTTGAGTTGTCAGCCCTGGTCTGTGCCAGGAGAAGACAAGCTCCTATATCCCCTCCCCTCTTGCTTGCGTTGCAGGCCCTGCACTGTTTACAAGAGAAGACAAGCCCCTACAACCCCTCTGGCTCACCTTCTTAGCCCTGCGAAGTGCCAAGTCAAGACAAACCCCTACAGCCCCTTTCCTTCGGCTTGAGCTGTGCGCCCTGCTCTGGTGCCAGGTCAAAACAAGCTCCTATTTCCCCTCCCTTCCGGCTTGCATTGTGGCCCCTGAGCTGGATAAAGTGAAGACAAGCCCCTCCAGTCCCTCCAATCCAGCTTCCATTGTCGGCCCTACACTGTGCCTGGTCAAGAGAGGCCTCTACAGTCCCTCTGGCTGGCGTTGTTGGCCCTGCGCTGTGACAAGGAAAGACAAGCCTCTACAGTCTCTGACTTGCTTTGTTGGCCCTGCGCTGTGCTTGGTGAAGACAAGCCTCTACATCCCCTCCCTTTTGGCTTGCATTACTGAGTCCCTCCCTGTGCCAGGTCAAGACAAGAGCCTACAGCCCTTGCCCTTCCCCTCCAGCTTGCATGGTCAGCCCCGCACACCACTGGTCCCGCAGTATGTCTCTTTCCGCCATTCCCTAAAAATTCACGACCACCGCCCAGAGAGGAAATGAGGGCTGGATGGAGGAATCTCCCACTGGCCCAAGCTTCAGTATCTTGCTGGTCGGCCCCGCTGGCTCTCCAAATACCTGAACAATCTGATTGGATACAGGCACTGTTCATGTATTTTGAGAGCCAGCGGGGCCGACTAGCAAGATACTGAAGCTTGGCCCAGTGAGAGATTTCTCCATCCATACAGTTTAGCATAGATGGAGGAATCTGTTGCACTTTTTCCATCTGACCATAGAAAATCTGTAGATGTATGGCCAGCTTTACATATTACTTTTGGGTGACCAAAAGAGAAATTCCCTTTGAATGTAAAGCACAAAAATGAATAGATCAATAGGTTTTGCTGCATGCACATAGAACACCCCATGAACTGTTCCACTTGTATTTTCATGGCTTAAAAACCAGCGACATTCAGACCATTTTCACTAGAATACCGAAGGCAGTCATAATGCAGAATGTGCTGAGCCACCGACTGAAAAATAATCAGGTTTTCTTTAGAATGACATACAACGATGTAGTGCAAGGGTCTACCTGAAAGGATATAAATTGGATTGTTTAGGTGGGTCTCTCGTAGTCCCCTGCTAACTAGGGCTGCGAGATGGACAAAATCAGTCCGAGTGTGATCGGTCTCGGCAATGACCTGCAATAACCATGAGGGGGCGACATTCAGCAACAGAAGCAGATGGAAGAAACGAAGGCTATTGTGGTTGAATGTTATATAAATGTGACTCATAGGAATGAGAAATTAGCTTTTCTCGATGATTTCTGACCGATAACACCCTCCAGGAAGTATTAAATAAATTAATTGATGCAATTAATTGTATTTAAATCAATTGCATAAATTAATGCTGTTCCGTATTACCTAATGGAGAATCACATTTGTTTTTTGTCAATGCATTTAGTGTAAATAGCTGAATTTGACTTATCAGCCTCTTGAAGTGCCTATACAGCTGAGCTCTGTGTGTGAGAGGAAACTCAGCACAAGGAGCTAATCACATGTGCCGACAAGGAGCATGCTAATAGGAGCAGAGGGCAAAATGACAGAAAGATGAGCTATTCACTGTGCTGCTTCTCTTTCACTGTCCAGTCACAGGGTGAGAGAGGTCCATGACTCTCTGTTTGCCTGAGGACGGGGCTGCATGGTCTCGAAACGTCGCTAAGGAGATGTGTGTTATCTCAGTCAATAAACAGCATTGACTTTAATATCATGGAGTACGAGTGACTACTTTCATCTATCTACATTTCACAGAGGCATCCGTTGTCACCACTGCACCCACCCAGTTGGATTTGGGTTTTTGTCCGGTCAGGAGTGCGATGGGACAGGAGGATTAAGGTCCATGACAGGCTGGCCTCAGAGAATGGGGGGACAAATGATGCTGGGAGTCATAAAAATCCAGAGATTTACCCAATAGCTTAGCGGTTAGAAAGGACTTTTTTTTTTTTACCCTCTCACAACAAATTGATCTATACATGAAGGTTTTTTCTTTCTCTGGATCAAACACACATACAGGTTGAACATGAAATCACACTATAAAATCCTTTTCTTGAAGTTCATTGAGGTGCACAGGAAGTCAGGAAGTCTTTAACCTTCCAGTTATACGCTCTTCTATTGGACACTGGCAAACCGAATAACCCACCCTATTACCAGAATGTCTTGGCTTTTGCAGCAAGAGTACCAAGAGCAAGATCATGAACACAGAGGGGTGGGACTTGTGTCCATCAATGGACTCCAAGACAAGGATTTCACAGAGTGCAAAAATCCTGGTTTCTTGTCCATTGAGCGACACAAGAACGTTTAATCTTTGGGACCTCCCAAAACAGTCCAACTGAGGGGTGGGCAAAACTGCAAACAATACTAAACAGGATCGAGAAAAAAAAAATAGGGACCGTCTGCAGCTCAAAGAGCTGTCTGAAGGACCTTGTGTCCGAAGCTGGCATTGGATGATGTTGAAACCTCCACCTGGTAGAACTTCGACAACGTGAGAATAGACCAGATGTCGGCCTTTGCAATCCTGGGAAACGGTTGCTTGCCGATAAGCCACAACTGCAGATCCGTTAGCGTGCGCCTTGACAGGACCAGGTGGAACTCAATCATTCAGGAGACCATACAGTTCAGTGATGGTCTTTCTGTGCCACTTCGAGATGGTGGAACATGAAATCTGTGCACCCTTACAAGGGCCACCCAGAAAGGAAATCCGTCTTCCTGAAAGAAGCATTGGCCAGGAGATAAGAGGCTCACAGCCAGAAGATAATCCAGACAAGGGAGGTGAATATCCTTTTGATGAACTGGAGCCAGAGGGGTGGAAGAACAGGGTCGTGGTTGAGGTAAAAGACAGACACCACCTTAAGCAAGTTCTTTTATTTTTAAAAAAAATAGGATTCCTTGCAGGCTAGGGCCACTCGCTCAGACACAGGCCCAGCACGTGATGGCTACAAGGAAAACTACCTTGTGGGTGAACGGAAAGGAATGTCTCTAATGCACATGTCAAACTCAAGGCCCAGGGTCCGAATCAGGCCTACCAGGCCATTTCCTAGACTTCTACTTTCAGATCTAGGTAATAAGTTATTACTAAAACGCAGTGATCATCGAACGCAGAGGCAATTATGATAAAGATTAGATACATTTATATAGTCCCACAGGCCCTTTGAGGGCAACCATAATGTTGATGCGGCCCTCGATTAAATGGAGTTCGACACCCCTGCTCTAATGGCTTCAAATAGTTTTTGAAGCACAGAGTGAATGAGATTCAGATCCCACAGGGGAACAAATGGTGTGCTACATGCGAAACTCCCTGTACAAGTCTTTTTCAAAGAGTGAGAGGCCAATGGAACGTGACACAGAAGACAAAGGGTAGAAACCTGACTGATAGTGCTGGGGGCCAAACACTGGTCCAGATGCATCTGCAGGAAGAGTGGACCTACAAAGAAACTCCTGGGGTGGAACCCCTGAGACTCACAAGTGAAGTGTGCCCTCCATCTCCAATGTTAGACCTTGCAAGAAGCAGACTTGCTAGCCTTTAGCATTGTAGGGATGACAACCACTCCATTAAAGCCAGGGACCATGAAGCAGGATGGCAAATTTGTCCTTGGGACAGAAGATCCAGACGTTCTGGCAGAGCCCACAAACCATCTGCCAGGAATCTTACCCGGTGAGCAAAAAAGCATTGCGGGAATGCCCTTCATCTTAATTCTGTGAAGCAGATGAGGAAGAGGTTTCAAAGGAATGGTTTAAAATCAGGGTATACTGATCCCAGGGAGCCACCAGAGCATCCACTGCTTCCTCTACAGGATCCCTGCACCTGGAGACAAACCTGTTCAAATTGAACCAGGAGGTCCACAACCAACATTCGTCAGCTGCAACACAGGTCCTGAAACATTTCCGGGTGAAGGGACCACTCCCCAGTGGTGCTGGTAGCTGAGGAAATCTGCTTGCCACTTGTCTACACCTGCAATTTATACAGAGAACAAGGCTAGAACATAAAGTTCTGCCCAGGACAAGATCCGCTCTACCTCTTGCCCCAGCAAGACTTCGAGTTACTCCGTGAATAACAGGTACATATACACACCACTGCCATAGTGCATCATTGGTGATATACACCACCGACTACATTTAGAATCAGCTTTCAAACTTACTGTTCCCTCAAGAGGTGGTTGGCCAAGTATCCCACAAGAGCACAGCAGGGCCAATTGTGGTGCCAGCACCTTGGACAATACCGAAGGTGCTGATAAGAAGCTGAAGAGCAGGGCCACAAACTGGTAGTATAGGGTCTTCACAGAAAAAACATCCTTGATGTCCACAGAATTCAGAAAGTCTCCCAGGTGAAGGGAAGCAATAAAAGATTGTGCATTCAATGTGGAATTTCTAGACCTGATTTAAGACATTCAGAGCTTTCAAAACCAAAAGGCGGCAAATGCCCCCTTTGAGTTTGGTAACATTGAAAAGGTGCAGAAGTTGAAGTACTGCTGAGGGAGCGGCGGGGGGTATTTAGTTATAGCACAGGTTCCATTTGTTTTTTACAGCACCCCACAACATTACATGACCAGCCTAAAGAATTCTGGAAAAGATATTAAAATGTCTTTGGGATGAGTGGGGGGGGGGGATTTTACACTGACCACATGGACAGTCTGGAGTTGGTTTTTAAATACCCATATACTCTGCCATCTATGGGCCTACAAGGAGGGTCACCTTAAAAGGGCAAGTGAACTTTAAAACAAAGTGCGCCTATCCTTTTCATCCCCTTCCCCAAAACGAACCCCCTCCCGCCGCCTTCTTACCTAGAGTCAAAAGCAGTAACTGCCGGTGCTTTTACAACATCCCATGCCTAAAGTCTTACTCTCCTGGCTCTGCCTGTGCATTGTAGCCCCTCAGATTCCCATGTACCTGTTTCCAGGCAAGAGACGACCTCATAGGCATCTATTGGGCTGCAATTGGCAGGCATGTCCAGAAGACAGACTTGTGGTGTTGGATGTACACACTGGAGACCTCAGCAGTGGGATCAGGTAGATATGCATCTGTGGGGGGGTGGGTTAGCTTAGATCTAGGCCAGGGATGTCCAAACTCCGGCCCTCCAGCTGTAGTGAAACTACAAATACCATGAAGCATCTCTCTCCAGGAGTCATGTCTGTGGCTGTGAGAATCTTGCAAAGCCTCATGGGATTCGTAGTTCCACCACAGCTGGAGGGCCGCAGTTTGGACATCCCTGCTCTAGGCAAAGGATAATTGCACTGTGTCTTAAAAGGAAGTCTATAGGAGCTGCAAAAAAACCCCCAGCAGAATGTAGAGACTTGGAAGGTACCTAGACACCATACGGCCAAAAAACTCCTTTAAAGTGGCATTTTGACATTCCGAGTGAAAAACTAAGTCTCATCTATGACCAAAGATTAATCAGCTTACACTCCTTTTAAAAACAGAAGATTCAGCCATTTTTTTTTGTCAGGTGCATATATCTGATAAAAATGTACTCCGTCTCTTATAACATAAATATTTATTGCTTCATATGAATACTGTATTGAAAGCCCAAAGCAATCAGTTGTACACACAGAAATTATACAATTAAAGAACGCTCCACAAAAGGCAGTGAACACTCGTTTACATTCTACAAAATCTACTTTTACCGAAATTTTAAAATTCTATATATCAAAAAAAAGCTATTCAGTTGAAGAAACAGGTAGAAACTCGACAGCCGGCGACGGTGATGGGCGACTGGGTCGTCAGTCTGGATGGCAAAAAGGTGTTACAAACCGCAGGAATTGTGCTTTGAGCGGGTCAAAGGGTGTTTAATTCACTGGCTGTTAGAAGGCGAATTTGAGACTTGGTAAGGGGGGAAAAAGTACGACCTCATAGGCATCTATTGGGCTGCAATTGGCAGGCATGTCCAGAAGACAGACTTGTGGTGTTGGATGTACACACTGGAGACCTCAGCAGTGGGATCAGGTAGATATGCATCTGTGGGGGGGTGGGTTAGCTTAGATCTAGGCCAGGGATGTCCAAACTCCGGCCCTCCAGCTGTAGTGAAACTACAAATACCATGAAGCATCTCTCTCCAGGAGTCATGTCTGTGGCTGTGAGAATCTTGCAAAGCCTCATGGGATTCGTAGTTCCACCACAGCTGGAGGGCCGCAGTTTGGACATCCCTGCTCTAGGCAAAGGATAATTGCACTGTGTCTTAAAAGGAAGTCTATAGGAGCTGCAAAAAAACCCCCAGCAGAATGTAGAGACTTGGAAGGTACCTAGACACCATACGGCCAAAAAACTCCTTTAAAGTGGCATTTTGACATTCCGAGTGAAAAACTAAGTCTCATCTATGACCAAAGATTAATCAGCTTACACTCCTTTTAAAAACAGAAGATTCAGCCATTTTTTTTTGTCAGGTGCATATATCTGATAAAAATGTACTCCGTCTCTTATAACATAAATATTTATTGCTTCATATGAATACTGTATTGAAAGCCCAAAGCAATCAGTTGTACACACAGAAATTATACAATTAAAGAACGCTCCACAAAAGGCAGTGAACACTCGTTTACATTCTACAAAATCTACTTTTACCGAAATTTTAAAATTCTATATATCAAAAAAAAGCTATTCAGTTGAAGAAACAGGTAGAAACTCGACAGCCGGCGACGGTGATGGGCGACTGGGTCGTCAGTCTGGATGGCAAAAAGGTGTTACAAACCGGAGGAATTGTGGTTTGAGCGGGTCAAAGGGTGTTTAATTCACTGGCTGTTAGAAGGCGAATTTGAGACTTGGTAAGGGGGGAAAAAAAAAAAAAAAAAAAAAAAAACTGAATTTCAGTTCACTTCAAAAAAATACAAATCATGGCGACTTCGATGCACTGCAGAAACTTCAGTTGATCAGTTCAGGTTCACACGTAAATATATTCTCTCTCTCTCTTTCAATACAGCTGAACTACTTTGCAATGTCATTGCATACAACAAAACCATCTCGGATAAACAAAGTTATCTTGTAGTCAAGAAATTCTTAATTCAAGCAACAAAAGAAAAATATAGTACCCTTATGTGTGTGTTTTTCCATCCAGGCCAGCAAGTCATCGACCTTACAAAGACCTGTTTGCTTCAAGCACAGGATATAGAAAGTACTTTTTTTTTTTTCTTCCTCCATAAATGAAAAAAGTCAAAACATAAAAAAAAAAAGTCGATTCAGTCTCTTGGAATGTTAAAAATTTGCAACATTTTATCTCCTTTAAGAGATCCTTGCACGGTGTTCTACAGTGTGAATGTTGCCAGCACCGCTCGGAGGAAGCCATTCTGTGGACTAGAACTTTAGGCCAGAGCTGAACGCAAGTGGTCAATCTTGTAAAAAAAAAAAAATGAAAGAAAATCCGTTCGCCGGATATAAATCTCGAAAACTATGAGCAGGACTGAGCCTTCGAGATCTGCAAAGCCTAAACAATCGGCTCAGCGTGCATAATGGCCGCCTTAGTCATGTGATGGCAAAAAAAAAAAAAAAAAAAAAAGGAAGATTTTTAAAACAGAAAA